TAGCTGCTCCTTTCACCCTCATCTCAAGCATTCGCCAGTTGGTCTTTTCATCTGTACTGTACCCTTCAAATCTCTTTGGGGGGTGGAGAAGACTGAGCATGCGTATGTTGAAAACTATATTCAAAATACTGACCTACTTGAAAGAGTATGTTTCTTTTTTCCCTAAAAGTCAGCTCTTTCTATATCATAGCAAGTTAAAGGCAACACCCCAAAAGCCAGCACCAGTTAGAACGTTAGAACAGAAAGGACATGTGCTTAGTGGACCTATGTCTACAAGCTGGGGGCGATCTCCCTCCAAGTCAGAAGCTATGAGAACACTGGGGGTAGAGGGCTCAGGACAGGGAGAGGGGAAGGGGGATGGCTCCCCTGGGGCGATGGACTCTGCAGTGACACCCTGGCTATAAAACTTGGGTCAGGGATAGAAGCGGTACCTGCCTCCCTTACCTTGCAGCAACGAGGGAGCTGTTGCTAATGCTTCTGCTGGGGAGACCCAGCTGATCCAGCTCTTTTTAAGAGCACCTACGCCACCCTTACAAGTCAGCAGGCCCAGATGAGCTGAACAAAGGCAGCAGAGAAACTACCAGAGGGACTGCTGAGCCACTCAGACTGAGGTGGGGAAGAACGGAATGGAACAGGACAGGGGCAGCGAGCTCAACTTCAATTCTCTAGCAAAATTCTGGAACATCTAATTAGAGACAAGAGCCGGGAAATAGTTAAAAAAAACAAAACAAAACAAAACAAACCCACACCAAGCGGGATCACAAAGGGCCAACATGGGCATCATCAAGAATGAGTCACACCACAATCACCCGACTCTCCTTTTCGACAGGGTTACGTGAAATGCTATGGAGACAGTTTACCCAAACCACAAAAAACACCTTTATAAATCTCTATAATAGTTGTGTAGAAGATGAAGATGTGAGCGCTCTCTCCTCATACAATGAGGTGAATTCTAGACTGGTTCAGTGGCCAGACCTGGAGAGCAGTCATCAGTGGTTCCATTTCAGTTTGTTAGGTCTTCAGTGGAATGAATGCCCCTGAGATCTTGGCTTTGCCCCAGGCTATTTAATGTTCTTATTGATGACCTGGGATAAAGGACAGACTGTTGCCTTGAGCTATATAGACTGAAATCCACCTCTGCCTACATATATCTATCCTGTGATTCTCATCCAGGCCCTTCCAGAAATCTGCCACAGGGGGTCCTCCCCCAATGTTGGAAGCCTTCCATGCCTTCTTCTGATGTAGCAGGGACACCAATGGAGTACCTGAGCTGTCCAACGGCCACCCCACCGCCTTGCCATGGGAGCAGTCTAATACATGTCATCTTCCCAATAATACCTTTCACACCTGTTCCTTTATGAAGCACCTCATTGGTTCTGAGTCACTGATTAGACCCACCTACCACACACCTCTCCCCTGACCACATATTAATTTTCAACTCTTTGGAGACTGTTGTATTCAACTGACAAGTATTTATTGTTTGTGGGCTGGTCATATATTTTACATACTTACACACACACACACACACACGTATTACATAATTAATCCTGTAACACAATATTCTGGTCTGTATTAAAAATGCACCTTATTTTGATAGAGAGCACATAGGCATTTGTGCCATGTTTGGCTTTTCAAGGTCTCCTTCCCTCTATCTCTTGCCTCATTCAGTAGTAACTTCAACATGGAAGGCTGGTGTCCCCCCACTACTCTGCAGAAGATTTTTTAAAAATAGCAATCATACTATGAACCACTACCAGCACTGGCCTCCCTCAGCAGGGCTCTCCCCAGGGAGAAAGAAAAGGCAAACAAAGACCAGGCTTTAGTCACCCCATACTCCATGGCATGGCATTCGCTACTTTGCTATTATCGAGAGAAATGAAGTGACTCAACCCCAAGCTGAGAAGGAGCATAAAGACAAAGGGATGTAAAAACATTATGTGTTCTGCAGCAGCAGCTCATTTCTGGGCCTAGTGGGTGGGTGGATGTGTGTGTGACACACAACCCTTGGCCTCTTACCTCCCTTTACATGCTAGGGTCCCTTAGGACAAGCATGACAAGAGCCAGGATTTGAAAAGATCGACAAGCTAGAACCACTGGACTGAACTGAGTAAATGATATTTATTCCTATTTACTTTCAAGTCTTCATATGACAGTTCAAAAAACTCACCTCCTAAGTACAAGGTGGGGAGGCAGCTGGACAGAGGACTGGGTGGAAAAGATATAGCAGCTTTAATGAACTACAAACTCAAAGCCAGCAACACAGCACAGGGCCCCCAAGAGCACCAATGTAATTTTACACTGCATTGAGAGGCGAGGTTTCAAGGAAAAAGGAAGTGGGAGAACTGGTCTACTCTCTGGCCTGTTCAGACCACAGGTGGAGTGTGTGTTCCATCTGGGGTGCCATATTCTAAGAAGGAAATGGATAAGCTGAGGAGGAGGGCAATCAGCATGGTAAAGGGCCTTGAGTTCATGCCATTTCAGAATGGACTGAAGAAACAGGGGATGATTAGCCTGGAGAAAAGAAGACTTTAGGAGGAACATAAAAGCGTCTTCAAGTATTTGAAAGGCTGTCTGTCCTCTGGGGAAGGGATTACACTTGATCTCTCTGGCCCCAAAGGGCAGAACCAGGAAGGAAGAGAGAAAGCTACAGTAAAGAGGCAAAATTTGGGCCTGACCTAAAGAAGAATGTTATAACAATTCTGGTGGTTGTCCCCAAGTGAACGGAGCTGCTCCAGAGGGTAGTGATTTTTCCTTCCTTGGAGGTCTTCAAGCGAAGGTGACTGATCCTCTTGACTAGAGAGGTGGTGGGAATTTCATGTGGTCCCAGTAAAGAGCCATGGAGTTGAACTCAAAGGACCTCAGGCACTTACCGTTTTGGGCCTACACTACTCTGAGAGCCTTTCAAACTCTCAAATTCTGCTAGTCTGTGACTCCCCACTCTTATTCCAAGTCAGCTCAGATTTCCTAGTGCCATTTCCTTAAGGGACACTTTTTCTTTATTCCACTAAAAATAATCCAGCTCTCCTTTATTTATCCTTTCAAAAGAGGCTTCCAGAACTTTATTCTTCCCCTTGCCCTCTTCTGTGATCTCTTTCCCAGAGAGCTCCTCCTGAACATTGCCATCTACTGAGGTAAATTAAGAGCAGTGGCTCACTGATTCAACGTTAGAATGGTCTCTCCAGCTAAGACTGGTTAGGAATTAGAAATGGCTTAATATCCTTATCAGGCTGACAGAAGATGTGTATTCTGCCAGGAAGCTGAAAAGGGGCTTATTAAAAAAAAGTCAGAATAATTCACAAACCCTTAAATTATGCAGCGTGACTTAGCACACTCCACCCACCACATTTCATACAAAAGCATCAATGACAAACACTTTCATTTCCTTTGCTAATAGAAGCACCTCCACAGAGGGGTAAGAAGTCCCATACTGCACGTGGGCAGACAAAAAAAAGGGCCTGAATCCTGGCTTGGCCACCTACTAGCTGTGTGACCTTGGATGAGACACTGGAGCCCTCTGTGCCTCAGTTTCCTCTTCTATAAAATAGAGTTTATAGATACACCACCCGCATCTTGGGGATGTCAGGAGGAATGGTCTATAAACCACAGTGCTAAAGAAATGTGTGGTTGTCATTTTTAACTCAGACAGTGACTAAATCACTTCCCCTTCCTGGCACCGTTCATTCCACTACCTCTAGTACTCAAATCACCAGTACTGGTTACAATATTAATGGTACAATATTAAAGCCTTGCTTCAGGAACAACGCCCCCAGCTGATAATGATCCCGAGGACAAAGTAACTTCCTTCCAAAGGCCACTGCCCATTGAAGGCCCACCGGCACAAGAGGGAGCTGAGCTGGCTGCCATTCCAGTAGACTTAATGGAAATGACCCTCTGCTAACCATTCCCCTCTAGCCAGACCATTAACAAATAGGACTGCTGAATTTATCATGAGAATAAAAGTAAATTAGATGGTAAACTCACTCTGAAAGGGCAGGAGCTATCTCATCTTTGCTAATCACACGGGAGATACACAGTGCTGGCAATCAATAAACAAACATCTAGCAAGGACACAAAAAGAGGCAAAAGACAGTCCCTGCCCTCAAGAAGCTTCCAATCCAATGGGGGAGAATACATACAAGCAAGCCATCTCCAGGATAAACAGGAAATAATGGAGAAGGAAGGCACCAGAATTGAGGGGGTGGGAAAGGCTTCCCGTAGCAGATGGATTTTAGTAGGGACCAAAAGCGCCCATACAGGTGATGATGGACAAATCTGCACAATGACATAAAGCCACCTCTGGGATGCTCTGCCTGTTCTTTAAAGCCCAAGGTCTTTGGCATCCCCCAAGGACCAGAGTCATCTATGCAGACACAGGAGAACCCTCTGAGGTCTCTCAGCTCAACTCTCTCATTTTACCGATGAGGAAATGGAGGCACAGAGGTTGTGTCAAGAAATTATTCTCCAAGATAATATTTATTTATGGCTCTTTTATGAGAGAAACAATTTGGAAGTGACATCTTGTCCCTTCAACCTAATTCTCATGGGTAAGACCAAGAAGTTTGGTTTTTTTTTTAAACATTGTACAGAGTATGAAAACAGAAAAAATTCATGTCCTTTACTTTCAAAGCCTTCAAACATTCACTACATCCAAACACAAAACATTAAAAATTTCAGCACCATTCCTGAACGCTGGTATTCTAGCACAAACAGCATGCACAAACCAGACCAATAAAGTAATTCGAACAAATCTTGTACAGAAAACTTTAGTAGTCAACGTGTAGGGGAAGATGCCAAAACGCTTTGAAACATATAATTCAGGAAACAGCAAGGCTCTGTTTTGATGCTGGCCTACTCCTAAAATGTGATAATAAGATAATTCATATATGCAAGGGCGCTCATTTAGGTGTAATTACAGATAAACACACAGACTTAAGAACAACAAAACACTACAAAGCAGAATGCTTAAATGCATAAAAAACCAAAAACACCCAACTACTCACCAGCTATTTCCACAATATCCCCAGGAACTATGTCTTTGGCTTTGATCCGCTGGACACTCTTCCTGTCCTGCCGATAAACTTTGCCCATTTCAGGTTCATATTCCTTAAGAGCTTCAATTGCATTCTCAGCATTTCTTTCCTGTAAGAAAAAATAACATTAAATGCCTACCAACTAGTAGTTAAAAACAAATGGAGGAAAAAAAGACATTTGAAGAAGTGTTGTTGATGGCAGTATCACCATTAATTAGCAAAGCAAAGCCAGATTGTGAACTATCAATCTCTTACTGTCATCGCATTAGCGAAGTCCCTTTCTAGGTCAAAAAGCTAATCAAATTTAGAACCGCTAAATCCAGTTAAAATTATAGTCCAGAAGAATGTCAGAAACCCGTGTGGTCAAGGTCATTCTGTGGTTCAAACAATTCACAAACGTCAACGTCATTCTGATGAAAATCAGGTTATTCAAGACTGCTCATGGTCTTACACTACAAATAGAAGCATTCTACGATCTGATCAAACAGATCGAGGACAAGAAAAAAGGAGGGAGCAGCAAAAGTGCTTGGACACCCTCTGCCCTCTCCAGGCATTTTCAGAAGCCAGGATCCATGTGGTGTCCCCTCAGATCACAGAACTAAGAGCTGGGAACCTCAGAGATTATCTAGCTCAACCCTATTATTATATAGATAAAGAAAATGGCTCAGAGCCATTAAGAGACCTGCCCAAGGACATACTGACCTTCCTTCAAGAAATCACATCACTTCCCACAAATCCTAGAAATCACTGCCCCAGAAATGCTGCAGACATCTTCTAGTTATCATAAAATGACCCAATTGATCACATTTGATAGTAAGCTTCATCTTATAAAGCATTTTTGTCAGGGATATTCCCACTCTAGCCTATCCTACACACTACCCCCAACATGGTTTTCCGTAAGTGTAGATCTCACTCCTTTGTTTAAGATTTAAAGCCCTGCACTATCTGGACTCAGCCTGATTTTCCAACCTCACTGGATGTTCCTCCCTGCTGGCCAGAGCTCTCTGCTCCTCATGTCCCATCTATGTACCTTTGTGCCGCCTTCGCCCCCATAGGATTCCGCTTTTCCTTTAAGACGGAGCAGAGGCACCATCTACGCCAAGTCTTCCCTGACCCCTCCCTTACCTAACTGTTAGAGGCCTGATTAGGTCCTAACTACCTCATTTTCTTTATTCTATATATATTTGAATATGTAGCCTATGTCTAGCTCAGTACCTAGCACAGAGTTGAAAATCAGAATAAATGCTTGATGGCTGACTGGGCCCTCTTCCCTCCATACTCATTTGGTGACCAGTTACCACGGGTTTAATGATTGCTTCCATGCTCACTGGTAACTACCAGACCTCCATATACAGACACAGTCTCCCCTTCCAAGTTTGCAGTCCTGTGCCAGCAAATCTAAACCTGCTTATTGGACGGTTCAAACTCAATGCCTAGGGGCACCTCAAACTCAACACGTACAAAACAGAAGTCATTCTCCTATTTCTGTTGAGGGGGACCATCCTTTTGGTGACCCAGTTCTAGACATCTGTGAAATCATACTCACTGCTTCCATTCCACATTTCAAATTGGGGCCAAATCTTGTCATTCTACCTCACAACCATGCCCTCTTCCCTGCACTCCTAATTGACCTCCCTGACTCAGGTCTCTCCCCAGTACAACCCAAGCTGTCAAGTGATTTTCCTAAAGGAGAAGCCTGACCACATCCTGCTGCCCAATGCCCCCCCACCCACTCAGCTGACTCCCTATTGCTCCTGGGCCTGGCTTCTAAAAGCCTGCAATATACATCATTTCCTTTCCAACCCTCTGTGGTCCACCAACATTAATCTTCTTGTTGTGTTACACCATGCCTTGGTATTTGATACACGCTATCTCTAGAAAGTTTCTGACCCCCTCTTCTCCTCTGACTCTTAAATGCCCTTTATAAGACTCAGCTCCACCAACATCCTCTACATGAAGCCTCTCAAAACCCCTAGCTGCTAGTATCTTGCCCACACACAGTCATGTATTCATTTTGTATAAACACTTATAAATGTATCTGTCTCCCTGACTGAACAGAAGTTTTTGTGGGCAGGCAGAGTTTCATCTTTTGTCTTTGTATCTCTCCAGCACACGGCACGTTTGTTGCTGTTCAGTTGTATCCAACTCTTCATGATTCCATTTGGGGTTTTCTCAAAGATACTGGAGTGGTTTGCATTTCCTTCTCCAGCTCATTTTACAGATGAGGAAACTGAGGCAAACAGGGTTAAGTGACTTGCCCAGGGTCACACAGTCTGACACCGAATTTGAACTCAGGAAGACGAGTCTTCCTGACTCTAGGCCCAGCACTCTATCCACTGCTCCACTTAGCTGCCAACAAAAGCATCTGGTACATAGTAGGCGATTAATAAATGGTTGTTCAGGCAGTTCTCAGATGAAGAAATTAAAGACATCTATAGTCATATGAAAAAATGCTCTAAATCACTACTGATTAGAGAAATGCAAATCCAAAACAACTCTGGGGTACCACAAAACACCTATCAGATTGGCCCACATGACAAAACAGGAAAATGATAAATGTTGGAGAAGATGTTGGAAAACTGGAACACTAATGCATTGTTGGTGGAGTTGTGAAATGATCCAACTATTCTGGAGAGTAATTTGGAACTATGCCCAAAGGGCTATAAAAATGTGCATACCCTTTGACCTGGCAATAGCACTTCTAGGGCTATATCCCAAAGAGATCATACAAATTGGAAGAGGACCCACATGTACAAAAATATTTACAGCAGCTCTTTCTGTGGTGGCAAAGAATCGGAAATTGAGGGGATGCCCATCAACTGGAGAATGGCTGAACAAATTGTGGCATATGAATGTAATGGAATACTACTGTGCTATAAAAAATGATGAGCAGGCAGACTTCAGAAAAACCTGGGAAGACTTGTCTGAACTGATACTAAGTGAAGTGAGCAGAACCAGGAGAACACTGTACACAGTAACAGCCACGTTGCGCGATGACTAATATTGATAGACTTAACCCTTCTCAGCAATGCAAGGATCTAAGACATTTCCAAAAGTCTCATGATGGAAAATGCTATCCACAACCAGAGAAAGAACTATGGCGTTTGAATGCAGATAGAAGCATACTATTTGCTATTTTTTTCTTCTGTTGAGTTTTGTTTCCTCTTTCTGGGAGTTCCTCCTATCAGTTCTAATTCTTCCTTACAATATGACTAATGTGAAAATTTGTTTAACAGGAATGTATATTGTACAGCCTACACCAGATTATGTGCCATCTTGGGGAGGGAGGCAGGAAGGGATGGGAAGAAAAATTTTAAACTCAAAAGCTTAGGGAAATGATTGTTGATAAATCAAAATAAACTAATTAAAAAAAAAAGAAGAAAAATAAATAAATAAATAAATAAATGAATGGTTGTTGATTAGGTATGCCTCACTCTGCCCAATTCATTCATCCACAGAATCCCAGACGTAAGAGCTGGTTGAAACCTTAAGAAGGCTATTTAAATGGAACTAAAAAGGTCTCCCCCAATATATACTAATATATTAAAGTTATGCTAAACTGAGAAAAACTAGGTTTAAATACAAGAAGGAATCTTACAATTTAAAGTAGTCTTGTATATACAAACACTCTGATCTTTTTTTTCGTTTTGTTTTAGACAATTGGGGTTAAGTGACTTGCCCAGGGTCACACAGATAGTAAGTGTTAAGTGTTTGGTCTGAGGCCAGATTTGAACTCAGGTCCTCCTGATTTCAGGGCTGGTGCTCTATCCACTTCACCACCTAGCTGCCCCCACAAACACTCTAAAAAATCAATTGAGATGTTCATATATTAGGTTTGCTCAAAGTACTTGTGGGTGGAGAAGACGTACACCTGTGTTTCTGTGCAACTGGGCAATCTGCTACATATCCTAAATTCCAAAGCCCAAACCAATAAAGTCACCTTTCCATGTCCCTCTTCCCCTTGCAGGGATAGTTTATGCCTCACTGAGGTTTGGGGAAGAATTGTGAGCACTGATGAGGCTGGGTTATAAGCAAGTTTAAGAAATTTCCTTCTTTGTCAATTCAGGCAAATTCATAGTCACTTCCCTTTGCCTACACTGGGGATGTGTAGGGTGAAGAACTTCACCAGACAGCTAAAATTTAAGTAGATTCTTGAGAGAGCACTTAAGTCACACTTTAACACACCAAAAATGAGCAAAGAAGTTTTCTCAATAAGAACATGGAAAAGCTTAAACATTCCAAGTTTCTAGAAACAAAAGGCCAATCAACGCCAATTAACACTTGGTACATTCCCTACCACCATCTTTAAAAAAAGAAGTTGGAGGAAAAAAATTTTGTTTTTGTTGTTTGGGGGGTGGGGTTAAGGAAGGAAAGAAAGAGAAAGGGGAAAAGATAAATCACCGTACATAATTTAGCCCCAAATTGTCTAAGCCAATTAAAGAATTTGGGTATAGGAGCTTGGCATAAATGAATACAAGCCAACCTAGTTTAATGGAATGGAGAGGGAAGAAAGAAAGGGGGTTGGGGTTCAAGAATATATTCTGTACATGTAAAGAATGCTGAAGGTTTTGTTTTGTTTTTAGCAGCATTTTATTTTGGGGTAAAGGGAAAAGTCATTGAATAAATCCAATCTTCCTATGCAATTCTATCACAATAGAAATGTGTTCTCTCTACATTTTCATCCTTGAAGGACAATTATATTTGAGAATATATAAAAACATTATTTCAAGGGGAAGTGTTACTACTTTAAATGTTACCAGAAAAACCAAATCATGTTAAACGTAAATGTATTATTATTAATAATAGCTAGCATTTGGTTTGCAAAGTGATTTACAAATATGATTTCATCTGATCCTCACAACAACCCTGAGAGGTACTGGCTATTATTATCCCCATTTTACTGATAAGGAAACTGAGGCAGACAAAGGTTAGGTGACTTGATCGCTGAGCCCCAACTTGAACTCAGGTTTTCCTGACTCCAGGTGCAGTACTCTACCCACCTCACCACCTGACTGCCAAAATTTGTCAAAGGGAGAACAGGAAAAGCTGACATTGATAATGTCCAAAGGTTCGTTTTAGGAAAGCAAACCTTTGAGGCTGCCCCACTACTTAAGTGTTGAAGTTCAAGATTTTAAGCCCAAGAGTCCTGACTCCGCCATATCACAATCCCTAGCATTAAGATCATGAATGCCATCATTCCCATCATGTAAAGGGAACAGACAGTGCCCCCAGGACTGAAGAGCCCGGTAACACTGTCCCCAGCCCCATCATTTCTTCCCAGGCATTATTCACTTGTTTCCCCTCCCTCTCCCTTCTCCTGGACCACCTCACTTTGCCAACTCCTTTTCAAGACATCTCTTTGCTACCACCTCAGCCCAAGAAGCTGAGAGTGAGAATGGAGAGAGAAACTTGACCCCAATGTCTTAGTGAAATACACACAAAGGTCAAGTCCCATGACAAAAAAATTTGCCCCAAAAAAATTCTACAAAGCTTGCGGGGCCAGCCTCCACACTCCACCACCTATTAACACTTGTTCTACAAGCAAGAGAGCTGCAAGCGAGTGCATGGAGTGGCCCCCAGCGCTGCTGTCCCTCCACCACCAAACTGATCTCCCGTTTCTTTCCTAAAAACGAGCTCTTCCTTTCGCTTCCTCATTTTCTCCAGCTCAGAACGACCTTTGGACATGCGGGTCAAAGGCCAGTCAAGCAGCCAGTCAGTCTTAGCAAACAAATGATCGAATGGGGCCGATCACCACTTTGCAGCTTTTTGGGCAGGAGTCACTGCCTCCCATTCTAGCCAAACTTCTGCAACAGCTCCTCTGGCTCCCCAGCCTCCCCTCCTGCCCAGCCATCCCATGTCACAGCGCTCTTGGTATCTTAAGATACTTTGGGCTGCTGATGTCTCCAAGTGTATCAGCGTCTACCTGGAATACAGGTAAAGCAATGGTCCTGGAAATACTGCCAACCCATCTACTTCCATTACCGTCCTGAGGCACTAATCCCCACCTCATCTTGCTTGCTGTAGGCCTCTGAGCTTAGCTTCCCCCTAGACACTGCAAGGGACACATGGGAAGTACAAACCACGGGCCCACAAAACAATACAGAAGACATTCCTACTTGACTTTGAAACACAGTATATTACATTTTTGTGGTAGATTATTGTCATACAGGCCATACTAAATTTCTTTATTATTACTACTGATTTATTCTGTATTGTACGCTCCCGGAGGAGGAGAGACTTTCTTATCTGTATTTCCAGAGCTCAGCACAGAGCCTGGCACAAGGCAGGCTCTTAATATTTATTAAGTATACTTGATTATAATCCATGAGAACAAACTGGCTGAGTGATTGGAGGGGGTAAAGAGAGCAGCATGCTGGGGAAGGAAACCATACTAGCATGAACAATTTGCTGCATCTACTCCATGAAGCACATGCCAAAATCACAAATTGATGTTGAGGTCCTAGAACTGTTTCCCAGGAGGCAGGAAAACGATCTTCTAGCTCTCTGTAAGCCAGGTAGCTTCTTAGCAAGCTACCCAACAGAGAAAAAGTAAATTAAAAAAATCACAAAAGGGGAGAGAAAGAGACAGTTTTGCTGCAGACAAAAAGAAAGACCCAGACTGCTTCCTTTTACTGAGTCCCTACAGAAGATTATAAATCTTAGATGAGAATAGAAAGGGACCTGCTTCTGGAATTAATGAGAGGACGGGTTAACACCATCACCCACTAGTTACACTGCAAGGGGAAACATTCAGGCTTACCTGCCACACACCCACAATGGCATTGGCCACTAAGATAAGCAAGATTACAAAAGGCTCCACAAAAGCTGTGATTGTTTCTTCACCTTCTTCAAACCAGGCCAGGACCTGCAAAGGAAATGATATTTGCTGCAGTGAGCAGAGCATACTCTATTCCACTTTAAGGTGCCACATGATTGTTCTTAACGTCCCCAGAAAAAGCCCAAGAACAGCAGGGTGTTTGCAGCCAGCACCAGGCTGCTCATGACAATTCATGGATATTCAAAATGTCACCAAAACTATCTACTGAGTGTTTCAGCATCAGCAGAAAAATACAACCACATTAGTTTTCAAGGCAGCCAGAGACATGGGTTGTCACCATCCTAGTTCCCAAACCCTCATCTGGATTGTTCTAATGACCTAGCCCCGCTACCTCCAATCTGTTCACCCTGTAGTCTACAAAGCCCAACTAAACTCGAAGAAAAATATCTCTAACCATGCCATCCTCTTGGCTAGAAAACCAAAAACAAGAATCCTGCAAAATCTCAATAGCTCTCCATTACCCCAAAGTATAACCTACTTTAGCTGGTGTCCAAGGCCTTCCATCCCTATCTCATCCTCTCTTACCCAACTGACCATCCTGCACTTGATGGCACCTAGAGTCTTGACTCCAATCAATCCTCTCTTTCATGAGACCCTGATTCCTGCCTGAGGGCTCCCTTAACCCAAGAGCAATCTCTTTCTTCTCCAAGCCATCATAACACTTTGTATCTCTCAACCCTTTCAATGATTAAAATATTAATCCTAAGTGTTACAAAGCACCTTCTTCACAACCACCAGCAAAAGAGGAGGAGACTGAGGCTCCCAGTTGACTCACCCAGAGTCACAGAGCTGGACATTTATCTGCTCTGTTAGACTCTACTCTCCTTGAGTACAGAGTTGAAGTCTTATCCTTCTTTGGAGCTCTCCCAGGATTTACCAACACTAGCTTTTGAGAAAAGTTATATATAATATCTAAACCAACAACACCTATTCCTAACCGAAAACAGCCAAAGAGGGTCGAAGAACATAGTAAAGAAACTCGTTTGACATCATTTGAATCAGGAACTATTGGTCAATATAGTGCCTTGTCCATAGGGAGCAGAAATGGTGGCTAAATTAACATGGACAATAATATACTAAAAAAAAAAAAAAAAAAAAAAAAAAAAGACGAAAGCCGAGTATCATTATATTCTCAAAGCAATTTCTAGAGTTCAAATTACCATTCATGTACAATCCAAAGGGGAAACAAGTAATGAAAAGTATGCTAAAGAGACCAGTTAATTAAAAATTATTTAAATTCTCTTAAGCAGTAGACATGATCATGTAAGGCATGGGAACAAAAGCAACAAATGATATTTCAGAATATCTGGGATTTTTACCCCAAGTTTATTTTTCAGATTTCTTGAAAACTGGTTGAGAATAAAACTACTCCCAGGCAGTTCAATGACTTTTTAAAAAATAGGTTTTGTTGATACACTTTTTTTTTACATCATCTGCCTTCCCCCTGTATCTCTCCCTCCCAGAAAGCTATCCCTTATAACAAAGAATTTTTTTAAAAGGGGAAGGGAAAAAAATGAGCAAAAATCATTTTTAAAAAATCAGACATTTGCAATGTCAGGAAAAGCATTTTTCAAGAAGTATTCAGACACACAGCACAACCCCAGGGCAGCTATAAGGCACAGTGGACAGAGCGTCAGGCCTGGAGTCCGGAAGACCTGACTAAAAATCTGGACCTAGACACTTCCTAGCTGTGTGTCCCTGGGCAAGTCATTTAAGTCTGTTTGTCTCCTCTGTAAAATGAGCTGGAGAAGGAAATGGCAAACCACTCCAGTATCTCTGCCAAGAAAACCCCAAATGGGGTCACAAAGGGTCAGACATGACTGAAAGGACTGAAGTACAACAAAGCCCAAGTTCAAACATTAATACAGGATTCCAATTAAACCAGGTAATGATGGGATCCTGTTAAGACGTGTGCGCTACAAAACCGAAGACCAGCAGACATCACCCTAACCCTACTGGTGCCAAAGCTGGCATTACGAGGTCAACCATAACACCTCTTTAATTGAGTGATAGGTGAAATATAAAGAGTTCGAATTAAAGCATTCCAATATTTTAGGACAAAGATTCTGTATTTGAAACAAATACTTGTAACAGCGGCTAATCAGAGTTCAACCAAACTAGTTAACAGGCAGCGAATATGTTTTTAAACATTTTTGGAATTAATGGCAATAAAAATACACCTGGCTAAAAACCTGGCCACAAGAAATCAGTATGGTCCTATCCAATGGGAATTCAGTGCCTATTTAGTGGTTGTAAGGGCAAGGCACAGAGACAAAAATGGGGAAAAAATTGGAATATGGCCAAATTTCCAAAAAGATACTGAGAATACTGAGGCAGGCAAACCCCAAGAAGAGAATGAGAAAGGGCCCAGCGAGGCCTGGGAGGGCCCAGACAGCCTAAAAGCAGTCTCTCCCTCACTCCCAGGCTCTCTGACACACAGCACACTCCTGCAGCCCCTGAGGATCAGGCCGAGCGCCAAAAAGACAACTTCTCTGAGGAAGTGATAAACTGTGATGGATGCAAGATCGCAGCTGCTCCGCTGCTAGCCTTCTCAATGCTTGCCAAGGAGAGCGAATTAGAAATAGGAAACTTAACTCTCCAGCTAGGGAAAAAAAATTGTTGGACTTGAGGAGGAACCAGGGCCTTTCTTAAAGGTCAGAGAGGCATTAGCAACTCGAAGATAAGCTTCGCACCTTGTTAGAGAGAGGCTGAATTTCCTTCTTGGCAGCAGGTGGCAAGGCACACATTTAAGTAACAAACTACAGGCCTTTCCTGGCCTCCCCAGCAGGTTGTGTCTTCCACGCTAACGTTACCTCCCATGTACTCTGTACGTAACTGTCTTCTGCATCAGAATGTAAGCTTCCTGAGGACAGGGACTGGCTCACATATTGCCAGCACTTAACACCTATGCTTCAATAAATGCTTGTAGGCACTGATCTAGACTTTTCTCTTTAATGTGAGAGCAAGACAATGTTAGTTTGATTAAAAAATTTTTTTCCATAAAAAAAAATTTCACTGTGTTTTTCCTTCGGATACAAACTTAACACAAAAGACTTCTATTAGATGAGTATTGTGGAAGAATAGAAAGGATCTATGAAGATGTACTGATTATTGCTGATAGAATTCCCCTAACAGGCTTACCTTTAAGGACAGGAAGTAGCTGCTAATCATTTCTATTACAAATAAAAATAGAAAAAACTAATAACAGAGCCTTCAGTATAACCAAGGATGGAAGAACACATCAAAAGACAGTCAACCAAGTATGGTTTATAAGGTTAAACAGGAAAAGCAATGTTGATTTCAGACTATAAACCCACAGGAATCAGCATCACTAACCACACTGGAAGCCAACCACATACAACTGGCTAGTCCAACCAACCCAACTATTTCTGTGAACCTGAGTTCAGTCCTCTGTTCTAGAACCTGGGGAGTCAGGGAAGGAGGGGGCCTCAGAGAAGTATCAGTGCTGGCACATCAGAAAGGGGGAAAGGCTTGAGAGGTTCAGGAAAAAGGCAAGCCAGAGGCTGGGAAGAGAACTGGAAATAACAGTAAAATGGAAAGCAGCTTATGAAGAGGTGACTATCGCATCTGAGATAACTGTGGCTTATCAGAAGCTGGACTAAGTAAATCTATGTAGGAAAAAGAAAAAAAAATTCCTAGCACTTTCCCACAAATAAAAAGGTAGACAGCACCAAACACTGACCTTAGAACCCCAGGGCGACTCCATTTATGTTCTCACTCCTCTGTGTGTGTGTGTCTCTTTCTTCCTCTGACACACACATACATACACAATAATTCTAGATGAGGGCCTTCCCAATGTACTCTTTGGTGAATATTGCAGCTAGGTGGCATAGTGAACAGAGTGCTAGGCCTGGAGTCAGGAAGATTCATCTTCCTGAGTTCAAATCTAGCCTCAGACACTTCCTAACTATGACCCTGAGCAAGTCACTTCACCCTGGTTGCCTCAGTTTCCTCATCTGTCAAATGAGCTGGAGAAAGAAATGGCACTCCATTATCTTCACCAAGAAAACCCCAAATGGGGTCACAGAGAGTCGGACACAACTGAAGTGACTAAACAAATCCCTAAGCCACCAGTGTAAAAATAATTGCAATTTCCTATATTCCGCTATAGCAGAACATTAACCAGAGTTAACAGGTTATTCTCTGGGTTAGCATGTCAAACAGTCACAAGAAACATCCCATAAATGTTTAGGCGAGGGAAATTTTTACAATCTAAGAACAACCAATTACCCAACACATACTCCCATCTCTATCAGACATGCATCAAAACTTCACATTTACAAAATGCATTTGTTAAAATAAAAGAATTAGACATCACTTTTTTTTAAAAGAAGCTAATGTAATAAGAAATTAGTTATATAGCACAGCAGTTTTCTTCTGCCTCTTCATATTGCCTTGTTCAGCTACTCAAATTTAAACAACTTCCATTTTCAAATTGTTTCCCAGTCATTTTTCTCAAGGAATCACAGAATTCAGAGCTGAAAGAGGCTTTGAGTAGCAACTTATCTAACCTCTTCATTTTATAGATGAAAAAAAAAAGGCTTAGAGGCAAGTTCACTGGCTCAAGGTCACACAGTTATTAAATAACAGAACAGAGATTCGAATGCATGACGAGACTCATTGTGCTGCAGGCCCCAGAGAATCAAAATTCAAAAAAGATGACAATCCTGGACAATTCCCAGCAGTGACCACCACAAGAGAAGTGGGATGGAAAGGTCAGAGAAGATGCTGCTTGAAATACTCTGAAAATGAGTACATGAATTCCAAGAAACCATAAACTCTATTAAAATTTCACAATAAACTATTCTTTCAACATCCATCACATGCTAGGGTTTAAAATATACTATACTATATACAGAGAGAGAGAGAGAGAGAGAGAAATATCCTACATTTGAAAGAGAACAAATCCTAAATGAGACCCAACCATTTCACCAGCTCAATTAAGATTTCCAACACTCATGTCTTTGCCTTTGTGTTACCAACATCAACTACTCAGCAGCTAAGATTAATTTTGCTTCAATGTATACATGACCTCACTTTTGATGGAACATCTCAGTGATCCCCGGGGGGCCTTGTGAGCCCCAAGTACAAAACTGTGTCGGCCCAGAAATGAGATTTTAAAAAACGATTTCAGCCATCTAAAGGTGTAAGACGTTCCCCAGCCTAAATATTCAGTCTGCCTTATTTTGTGAAGTTTGATCATATTTGATTCTACTTCTCAACCAACCGCGAAGAGTTCAAGGGAAGGCAGCAAAGTTGTTTCCCATGAGCTTTGGCTGCCTTCTGTTTATTCCTTCTGTAAACTATTCAGGACTATCAGCAGTCTCTTACTCCCTGAATGAATCCACACCGCACTTACAGTTAAAAGCTCAAGTACATGTTAGTGGTAACAAGCTGCTGATCCTTCTGAAATGCAAACCGATTAATCTATACCAAAGAGGATTTGAATTTGTTCAGATATGTTGGAGTTAAACTATATAATTTAAGTTTAAAAATATCGGGGAGAAGAGCCACATGAGGAGGTAGGGAGCAATTCAGTAGGCTGAGCAAATCATCTGCTATGACATCATGCCTCAACTTTCCTCCGAGAGTCCAGAATCCAAGGGCTGGACCCTAAAGGTAATTAATGGTACTGTCATGGTAATTATGACACACACTGTACTTAGTGGGAAAAGGCTCATTTTAGGGTAACAGCACCAAGATTGTGTCTACTGAATGTTTGCTCCTCTTAGATCTACCATTTGGAAAACAACTCAGACGTCTCCGGTTCTAAGTCAACAGCTTGGCCAATTCCTCAAATCTCCTTCTGAGAAAAGACAGCTAGAGGAAAGATGAAGGTGGCCCCTTTGGGGCAGCTGGTATCTAGCCCAACTGCCAACAAACTCACCTCCAGTGGGTTGTTTGGGGGTTTTCTAAAGCCACGCCTGGCTGAAAATCGGAGGCACACACGCCACCTGAGCATACACAGTCACATCAGGCCCAATCCCTCCTGTCCTCAAGTTGTGGGGGGGGGGAATTTTTGTGAATGAGATTTTGTCCAGAGAATTGAGTTTTCAAAGTTCTCCTTGCAATTCTTCAAGGGCCTCCATCTACCACATTATACAAACGTTCTCTGGGCTCAAAAAAAGAATAACCCACATGACGATTTCATGACGAAGAGAACAACTCGGTTAAAAACTTATCAAGAACATTTTCGCCCCCATCACCTCCGGAGGCTTTCATTCTTTGCATCTCTCTCTCTCTCTCTCTCTCTCTCCCTCTCGTTTCTTAGCAACCCCACTAGCTCTTACATGCAAGCGGAGACTCTCTGGCTCACACAACCAGGAAACTGCCCAGTTCTAACATTGTGTCCATGGAACAGGGCAAGCCGAACTTTGTCCTGTCCATCTGAGGAGTTCTATCTGTTTGGTACTCAGTCAAATCAGGGAAAGTTTGGGGGGGGGGGTCCAACTTAGATGAACATACCACCACCCTGAAGGGCAGTGACCAAATTTGGTCAACCCCAGAGCCATCACTGGCGTCATCATTCTTGTCCCCGTCAGAAGCAACTGTCACCTTGCTATTACCAGAAAGGGAAAACAACTGGGAATATTCCTTTGGTGAGTGCTATTTACAGATGACAATGACCCCATCATCATCTTCATGTGATCTTACAACTTGTTAATAAGGAGAGGTCAAAATTCAAAAATAAAATTTAAAAGACCTAATAATTGAAAAAAAAAAACTTTGGCTTTAGAAGCTTATTTGGCTCTACAATATGTGTTTGGAAAATCTAATTAGCTTTAACCTCCTTAGTTTAAAAAACAAAAACAAAAACACCCCTCAGACTGAAACATCCATTTACTTTCTAAAAAAAATCAATAGTTTACATTCTACGAATACAAATGGTTAACACCAAGACAGTACTTTGACGTTACATTTTTGCTTACTCTTTTCTGCTTTTAGCTTTACAACTTTTATCCCTGCAATATTTGGCTGACCAATACTTTAAAAAAAAAAGAAAAAGACATTTTTTATACTTACAAAAGATATGCAGGCTGCCAGCAGTAAAATTCTAACTAATAAATCTTCAAACTGTTCAATTACAAGCTCCAATAAGGTTTTCCCTATAATAAGAAATGCAAATTATTATAATAGTTACCTTAATAGCCTCAGCAAGAAACAATGAAAAAAAAACTTTTAATCAAATGACTTACCTTCTTCTGCAGGCAATTCTGTAGAATGCAGAGATTTGCAAGGAACATGAGAGAAAGAAAAGAAGAAAACGTTAACATTCAGTTTTTTCTCCAAGAAAAATTGTTAAAATTTAAACACCTTCCATTCTGGAAGACAAAAGCTTTAGCTAGAGTAGACCAACGACCATCCTTTCTGTAGGTGACAATTAACAGAAAGATACAAATTTTTTTTTGGTTAATGACCTTGTGCCTACATTTCAGAGTGAAACCCAGCCACCTAAGGAGGGGACCCTAAAAAGGAGACATGTCAGTCAGGTCACCTGCCGTGTGTGTGTGTGTGTGTGTGTGTGTGTGTGTGGAGTGGGGGGGGGGGTGACTCTGGGGAGCCCAGAAGGTCAGAGGGTTCTCTAAGTCCTAAGCCCCAGGTCCACGGGATTTCTCCTGACAGCTCATTGATCAGTTTCTCATTCCCCAGAGAAGGGCTGGAGCTGCGTGGGTGATTCACCAAGGCACAAAAAGAAGGTCAAGGAAAAGGGGCAGGCATCGGATTGCGGTGGCCCTCCTGAGCCCCCCTCCCCACGTGAGGAAGGCTCCTCGGTTGGGGGGGGGGGGGGGTCGCTGCGAAAACCCGGGCGGGGAAGCCCGGGTGGGAGAGACCCACGAGGTGGAGCCCCAGTCAGCCATCTTCCCTCTCTCTTAGGCCGCCTTCCCAGCAGATGCAGACTCCACACGCCCAGACTCCCGGCCCCGGCCCCCCGACAGCCCCCTCCTCTGTAGAGGGCGGGGGAGGGGAGCCTGGGGACCCCACAAGGAGGGGCTGCCTTCTCATCCTCCGGGAAGAGCCCCAAAGAAAAGGCTACGGGAGGCCCGGGCATGGGGGGGGGAGGGTGATTGGCTGAAAAGCGTTGGTCCCCCTCCCCTCCTGCGCAAAGAGGAGAACATACTAGGGTGAGGGGCGGGGGAAGGGAGGGATGGGCCTGGACCCCCAACTAGGAGGCGCTATCTACTGCCTCTCCTCCGCAAAACGGTAAAGGACCCCAGAGGCACAAAGGGGGGGCTTGAAGAGCGTGGGTACAACCCCCCCCCCAGGGCCCACTGCAAGGAAAGGCTGAAGCCCCTCGGCGGGCGTGTGTCAGGCAGCCCCCTCCCCCTCCCCTCGCCGCAGCGGGCGAGCAGGCGAGCTGCTGCGGGCACGCACCGTTGGAGCCCCAGCGCTCCTTGAGCTTCTTGACCTGCTCCAGGCTCAGCCCGGTGCTCTCGTTGACGCCAAAATAGCCGAGCACCTCCTCCACCGTCTTGGTGTGCGCGTTCTCCATGGCTGCGGAGCCCGAGCCCGAGCCCGCCCGGGGCCGCCTCCGACTCCTCCCGCCCCGCTAGGACGCGCTCGGCTCGGCTCAGCAGCAGCCCAGGCTCACGAGGGCCGCCGGCACCGGAGGAGGCGGTGGCAGGGCGGGTGGCAGCGCTTTCCACCCCCCGCACCCCAGGAGCAGCAGCAGCAGCCGCGGCGCCGCTGCCTCCTCCTCCTCCTCCTCTGCTGCCTCCTTCCGCTCCGCCGAGCGCTGAATCACCCCACGGGCGCCCTCCCCCCCGCGGCCCCGGGGCAGGTGACACCGCCCCCCGCCCCGCTCGGCTCGGCTCCCCTCTCCCGGCTCCTGCCCGAGCCCGGGACGGTGCCCTCGACCGCCAACCGCCGCCCGGCACGGCCCGCGCCTCGAGCCTCGCTCGCCTGCCCGCCGGCCGCCGGCTGGGCAGTGGGCCCCGCTGTCGGCCCGGCTCCGGAGGCGCACCGACGCTCCCGCCTGCGGAGCTCTATCTAGCCGGAGCGGCGCTCGCTCCCTCCGCGGAGCCCCCACCCCAAAAGGCCGCGGCGGCGGTGACCCGAGGAGGAGACTGCGGCGAAGGCGGCGGCGTCGGGGACGGGAGCGAGCGGCGCGGCAGCGACGGCGGCGGCGGCGGCGGCTCTAATAGCATTTATTCGCTGCTGCCTCCCCTCTCGCCGCCGCGGCATGTGGACGCCGCTCATTGGCCGAGAGGCACCAGCGCGGCGCCGGCGGCCGGGCCACGCCCCCTGCCTCCCCCTTCTCTCCCCTTTCCTCCTCACTCCTCACCCCCGCCCCTCCCTTTCCTCCTCGGCTCCAGCCCTCTGCCGACTCCCTCACCCACGCCGCCCGGGCCGACGCGCTGGCCCCGCCCCCTCCAGCCGGCTCCGAGGACCCGGATCGAGGCTCGAGGAGCCCACGGCGCAGGCGCGCTGGAGCCGCTGGCCTGCCAGTCCGAAGCGGGCATGGCGGGCTGAGGAGGCGCGGGCCAGGGGCTGGAGCGCACGGACGTGCCGTCGTGAAAAGCTGAGAGAGGGCCGGGCAGGTCATGAGGGCGCCTTAGGGGTCGCGGCTCTTGATGTCCACCTCGGACTCCGGCCGTCCCGTGCCCACAGGCCTCCCACGAGGCCTAAGCTTTGCCCACCCAGGACTTTTCCTCCGTGGATAATCTCCCATTTCTCCCGTCTGGAGCTTGTTTGTACAGAGTTTTCCGCACTTGTCTCCCTCCCTTCTCAGACTGTGAGCTACCCGAGGGCAGGGACTGCCTTTTGTCCTTTTTTGTACCCCAGAGCTTAGCCCTGAGCCTGGCACACAGTAGGCCCTTCCTCAAGTTAATTGACCTATTGAGTGGGGCCACGTGGCTTCTGTTAAGACTTCCGGTGAAGGCCAGCCCTTTGAACCTTGAAGACCATCCTATGGCTGGGAAGCTCTTCCTTCTGTCCAGCCTCAATCCCTCTCTAAATCCTGCTCCTGGTTCTGCCCTCCGGGGCCAAGCAGAACCGGGCAAAGTCATCTTTTCTTCACATGACAGCCTTCGGGGAAGATGGCTTCATGTTTCCCCTAAGTCTACTCCAGGCTAAACATGCCCAGTCCCTTCAACTGGACTTCATAGGATGTGGATTTAAGGCCCTTCACCCTCCTGGTGGACATCTGTACATTCTCCAGTTTATCAATGGACTTCCTACAATGTTATGTCCAGGACTGAACAAAGGGTTCCAGATATCTTCTGACCAGTGCAAAGGGCAGTGGGCCTATCAGCCTCATACTCCCGGGAGCTAGTCCTCTTAATATGGGAATTAGAGATATATTAACTTTTTTTAGGGGGGTGGCCATATTGACTCATTTTGAGCTTGCAGTCCATGAACTACCCCGATATCTTCCCTTCCAGTCAGTCCAAGGTCAAGCAGGTCATAAGAAGTCTACACTAGAATTCAGATCTTTAGTGTGTCTGTCAAGAGTTTGAAATCTGCCTCCAGCCTGGGATATCCTGGGTGGCGGGGAACAGTGGTGTATGTGTATCTTCATAATTCCCTCATATCAACTTCTTCAGAAGACTGATGAAATCCAAATTATAGCACTTCTTATGTGATCCTCAATCTTATAATGCACCAATTAACAAGCATTTATTATGCATTTGTTAGATGGTGGCTACTGTGCTAGTTGTTGAGGGTAAAAAGACAAAACGGAGACAGTTCCTGTGCTCAAGGAGCTAGGCAGGGTAAGTATGATCAATCCTATTTTGCAAATGAGGTAGCTCAGATTCAGGGATTGAGTGACAATCAAGGTCACACACCTAGGGAGTTGAGGGGCTGAGACTAGAATCTCAGTCTTACTGGGTTGTTTTTTTTCCCCCACTATATCAATGAGGGGGGAGGTAAAGAATGAAGGAATTAACTTCCACTTGTACTATGTGCGTAATGTAAATACACTTTTTATGCATGTTGTCTCTCCTGTTAAGATGTGAGCTAGGGGCAGCTAGGTGGTGGCAACGTAAAGCACTGGTCCTCAAGTCAGGAGGATCTGAGTTCAAATTCAGCCACAGACACTAATTGTGACCCATGGACAAGATGTGAGGTCAGGAAATGTGTTTGCCATTGTATCCTGAGCACTTATGTGCCTGGCACATGGTAAGTGCTTAATAAATGTTTGTTGACTTACTGACAGTGACCCGATATTACTGTGGTACAGGATATGAACAGAGAGAAGTACCAGAGAATGTAGTTTGGTGAGATCAGATGAATCAGAACAAATTGCAGATTGCTATACGTAGTCTCATTTGAGCTTTACAACAAATCTGTGAGGTAAGTACCACAGTTATTAATACCCCACAGTTTCACAGTTGAGGAAACAGGATCAGTAGATTAAGTAATTTGTTCTTGATCACACAGTGTCAGAGGGAATTTGGTGCTCCCCTGAATCCAACTCTGGAGCTCTTACAAATATACCATGCCCCATCAGGAAGATAGAGGGTGTAAAGACTTTAGAGGACTCATCAGGAAGTAGCCCAGAAACCACTAAACTCTGGGTCTTTGGGAAATCTCTGAGAACATCCAATTGAATGACTCTGGAGAGAAGCCATACCTATTGGGTATTCAAATGATTTAGATCACTTTAGAGGTTGTCTACTCCAGTCCATTTTAGAAATGAGGAAACAGACTCAGGGAGGTTAAGTGACTTGCTCAAGATTGATCTTAACATCATTCAATTAAGGTGCTATTCTCCACTACCCTCTTCTTACCAGACATTGACTGACCTCAGAATTCTCTGTACTAGGTTGAAAATCACTAAAGTCACAGGAGGTGGAAAAGTAAGAAAGGGAAGTGCTCTCCTGGGGCAGTAATGCCACTGTCCTTTACCCTTGTCAGACCACATCTGCAGTATTGCGTTCAGTTCTGGGTATCACATTTTAGGCAGGACATTGATATGTTGGTACATGTTCAGAGAAGGGCAACCAGGAGGAAATCTGAACCCTTGTCCCATGAGGATTGGTTGAAGGAACTAGGTCTGTTTAACCTAGAGGAGACTTAGCAGGGGCATGATAGCACTCTTTAAATATCTGATGACCAAGAAGAGGGAACAAGCTTGTTTTTGGTCCCAGGAGGCAGGACTAAAGAGGCAGGGAACCGAAGATTCAGAAAGGCATGTTGGGGTCCCACTTAATGAAAAACTTACTAAAAGAGTTGTCCAAAAGGGAAATGGTCTGCTCTGGGAGTTAGGAGGTCCCCCATCATCTTGAAGAAGAGGGGACTCTGGAATATAAGTGCTGAATTCTCTTCCAACTCTGAAAGCCTGTGATCAGCTCCAGTCCATACCTGAACAAGAGTCTGTACTGTAACATATCTGGCAAGTGGTCATTCAGCCTTTGCTCGAAGACCCCTAATGGCGGGGCTCCCACTGTTCCTGAGACAGCCCATTCCATTTTGGATAGCTGTAGTTATTAGGAAGTTTTTCCTGACATGCCTGCTAAACTTAATACCTCTTTACAACTTCCACCTACTGCTCTTAGTCCTGCCTGTCGGTTGGAGGGGTGGCAAACAAAAGACTTATCCTTTCTGCATGTGAAGGCCCTCTGAATGCTTAAAGGTAGCTATCATACTACTTCATCACCACCCAGCCTGTTCCATTATCTGCTGTTTTAGAGGCATCCTGAGGTGGTGGAAATAACGTTCAATCTGAAATCAGAAAACCTGTATTTGAATCTCAGCTCAGACCAGTACTACTTATGTGGCCTCAGGCAAGTCAACTGAGTGGGCCTCCATTTCCTCATCTGAAAAGCCCCTTAAGAAGAATTGCACTCTGCCTGGTGAGGGTTAATAAATACTTTCCTGGCAAAAGAAGAGGGGAGAATGGCATAGTAATTTATTATTATTATTTTTAACTCCCACGCTTGGTCTTATGATACCACTTGTCTGCATTAGAAATCACAGGTTGTGATCTGGGAACTTTTAAATAGCTATTGGAGTAGCGTAGAATGCCTGAGTACTTAGTTCTCAGCAGCTCTGGGGTTGGGAAGATGGAGGCACTGATGCCATAATGTTAGGTATATTTTCTTTTCTGTCACTTTATCCAGCAGGGGAAAGGAGGGCCATTTTGCTCCAAAGCCTACACTTTAGCCGCAGATATTTTGTTCGCATATTCTTTACAAAACCCACGTCTCCCTGACATAAAGGAAGTTCCCCAAGTATAAAGGAGTTGCACCACTTAACTGGGGGTGGAGAGGAGGGACCTCTGCATGGAATCCATGAACAAAATATGTGCAAATTAGATTTTTAGAGACGAGCAGCTTTCTTGCAGCAGGTTGCCAAAGCAAAACATTTTGTCTCTCTATCTGTAGAGACAGAGCACACCCTAAGAGGCACAAGGGAGAGCCGGCTCAACTGCCCCAGAGAGTTCAGCCTGAGGACTGGAAACAGATTAATTCCTCCAGCCAGATGTAGGCCACATTGCACTGCCCAGCTGAAAGAATCATGCACGTCATCTCATTTCATTATTTCCAAGGAATGGAGGCTGGCATGAGGTTTTGATTGATACCTGGAAGAAGATTAAA